GGGAAATTAATATTATTTTAGAGGAGGTGGGAGCTACAAAAACATATAATTTTCAGCAGGTTTTAAGGGAAGTCCCCCAAAATAAAGGAAAAACAAAAAATGTGGGACGATATTGCTACAAAACTTACTGCAACAAGGGGGGATTAAAAGATCAGGGAATGAGGTCAGGAAGAAGTGGCAGGACTTTTCAAGCCTAGCTAAAAGAAAAAGGGGCACTGCAGAGGACAACAATTAATAAAACAGGTGGTGGGCCTAATGACGCCCCCATTCTTACAGCAGAAGAAGAAAAGGCACTGTCAATTCTTGGAACAACTGCCTCAGATGGGATTTGTGGTGGGATTGACCTCCATGGAGGAGAAGGGTTGCGTCAACCTGAACCTGAGTCAGGTCCATCATGTTCACAAGAGCAATCAGGTTCACCTCCTATTGACAGACAGCTACCATCTCCCAGTCCTCCCAACAGTCCAACAGACCAGCCTCCATCTTCAATTGTTCAGGCTACAGCCACAACACCGCGATTTGAGAATATCTGTGGTTGTAGTCAGGACTTGGTACAGCTGGAGCGAGAGAAATTAGATGTTCTAAAAGATATCAGACAATCTCTTAAAGAGGCCAATGAGATGAATTACAACTTTCAGAGGGAAATCATTGAACTTAAGAAGGCCAAGATGGCTTTGGAAGAGAGGAGACTTTCACTGGAGGAGATGAGTTTTGCAAGGCCCTCCATTTCAGTGCCAATTATCTTGCCAGATGAGTCAGGTAAGATTGTTCAATGTTGTTTAATCATGAATAATTATATGTTTTAATAAAATATGTTGTGCAACATGAAATATTCTTTTCCATATGTACACTCATCACATTTTGCCATGTCTTTTGCAGATCCTGGGGAACAAACTACAAACTTGAATCAATAAAAATTGTTTAAATGCAATGTTTTGATGTTTGTTAATCCACTCAAAGTCTAAGGCTCAATGAAATACTATAAAGCACAAGAATTCTTATTATATTATCATATCATAAGTGTTTCAAATTTAAATAGCTACTTGTAGTCTCTTTAAAAAAGTAATAAGCATGCAAGTCCTATGGGCTAGTTTCACAGACAGGGCCAGGATTAGGCCATTGTTCA